GAAAAAGAAGATTGGAGCAGAGGCACGACATCTGGAAACAGAAACATGATAGGGATGACTAGATGCCTATGTACGGGATAGACGGGTAAAAGTTGCAGGAAGAGGAACTGCCGAGGCAAGTTCCGAAGTAGTAGCGGCAGAAGAGGGACTATGAAGCAGCTGCCCGACGATGGGCTAGCGATAATAAACTGGANTAGCCGGATGGCCTTTCGTTGAACACGATCAAGAAGGGAAAGAGAAGAGGACGAAGCCCCACCCCACACGTGACTACAGTATTCAAAAGCATGGCGAATTTGAGCGTTGTATAATAGAAGATGAGCTGGGGTGAAAAAGCGTCTGGCGCGAAATAGAAATCCAACCTTGCGCTCAGCACGAGAAGCAAGCTTAGCTATGAAAAGGGACCATCATAAAGAAGAAGTTATAGGCAATCCAAGAAGGGAAACAGTCTGTGGAACGCAGTTGGGTGGAATCAGAAGATAAATGGAGGGGGGACAAATGGTGTTTTAAAGAAATTGAAATAAGAAAAGTTTTAGAACTGTTGGACTGAACGTGGCTTGCAATGCCCCAGTAGGAGATGTGTACGAGATCGGAGTCCAGTGACACATTAACTGCATTACGGTCACCATCGGTGTTGGTTTGGGCATGGCAAGCTGTGCGGTAGGAGAGAGCAGTGGAGGGTGGCGTCATCCGCAAAAGAATGGATCGGGTTGGCAGTTTGAGAAAGGAGATCATTGATGAATAGAAGGAAGGGGGTGGGCTCCAGTACTGAACCTTGGGGAACACCAGCGTTCACAGGGAATAGCTAAGATAGAACCCCATCAACTCGGACGGAGATGGTTCGCTTACTGAGGAAACTTGATATCCACGCCACGAACTCTAGAGGAACCCAAACATCGGTAGTTTCGCCAGTAGACCTTCGTGCCAAAGTCGGCCGTAGGCCTCTGAGATGTCGAGCGAGACCAAGTGTGTTTCCCCGCGGTTATCGAGTAGAGCTGACCGGGATTCTGAGGCAAGAGCCAGAAGGTCACTGGTGGAACGACGTCTGACGCCAGACTGTGCAAAATAAATCATGGTACAATAATCCTTCCATGATTTGCGTGCATAGTTAAAAGCAGTCAACCACAATCCATAGAATTTTATCGCCCGGTGGTCAGTACCCGGTAATTTTGGATCACCATATTTCAAGAGATGTGTGTGTACTGAATTCGTTCAGTCAGATGCGATTTCCCCATGCTTTGAACATGCAATAGCGCAATCTAGCCACTCACGCCTACGATGAACCTCGGCGGTGAAATAAGACACCCTTGACAAGGTCGGTGCTGGTTGTGACGAAGTTGCTTAGTTTGCTTTCTTCCAGCAAATCACATACGAACTGCAATCACGCGTTGCTGTGCTTTCCTGCGCCGCTATCCTTTCACCGACCGGTTAGCCGAACTGTGGTTAAATGGGCAAATTAAAAAGAGGCTTAAAACAATATCAGGGCGATAGTACAGAAGATAGATAAATGAAATATGGACAGGAATTGAGCAAATGCACGANAATGCACGAGGGCCTCGTTAATTTGACGTTTCTTTGAGTCATTCCTCTACGAAGAAGCATGTTAATTGAGACCTGACGGTTAACTGAGTCAATGCTCTTTGACCATAGAGGTCTGCAATCGTTGGTAAGCTTATTCGCTTCCCAGCTCCCTATTCCCTCGATCGTGTTGGTGTTTCGCACTTTCGAGTACCTAGTGGTCAGTTCTCACAGGTCCTCATGGCTATTATTTGTGCTACGTCATACTTCTCGGAATTTTTGGGGGGTTACAATAACCTATCCATTTCGCTTGATGAAATCAGTACAGGGGCTTAGTGCTCAAGCAGTGTCGTCTGATGGCCTCATTGGTTTATTTGTATTTTTCTTTCTAGGAATGACCCGTGATGACCTGTTCAATACGAACGCTTCAATTGTGGCACAGCTGACCCACGCATGTGCATTGCATTGTCCAAAGGCGATGATCTGTATTGTAACCAATCCGGTTAACAGCACGGTTCCTATCGCTGCAGAGATGTTAAAGAAGAATGGCGTATACGACCCACATAGATTGTTTGGTGTGACAACACTAGATATTGTTCGATCCAATACGTTTATTGCTGAAGCCAAAGTAAGTAAACTTTTTTATCACATTGAGAGACTGGATGATGGATTTTATTGAGATCCGCTATTGATTGGTTGGAGACATTGAAGGATATGACAGTCGTGACGTTCTTGTTGTCACTTCTTAGCAGACCGGAGTGCTTGAAAAGGTATGTATGCAAAATAGGTCCAACACCTGCCCACCTTACATATTGCAAGTTTGGCACCGATCGTACAAGTTCGCTTTACTATATTTCACTGTACGAGCGAGATAATAAAAATCAGCGTCTGTACAATGATGATGATGATGTGCCCTAGTCAGCGAAGTCTAAGGATGTGAAAACTCGATTGTTATCTACAGCAGAGACGATAGCAATTAAAATAAACAAACCTCCATTATGTGCACACAAACAGTTAGTTAAATCCCTTTTCTTCCCATGGCCATATGCCCGAAGTGCCCCCACCTAACACATCAGTCGAATATTCACACCGCAAGGGATTATCACCAATCATGCGGTCAGTGTTGATACATCTCCCTCTAAACCCCTGATCGTCCACTTTACACACTGAAACCCTGATTTGACTGTCTCTCTGTGTTATTTCCGAGTTATATAATGTGCTGCAATTGGCCAGTAGATAAAGCACTGAAACCAAGCTTGTTTGCCACATCTCTGTTTTCTAATGAATCTATCGGAATTATTCACTCATTCACTTATTATTATTATTATTATTATTATTATTATTATTCACTCAGTCTGCTAACTTGAATTCGATACCCTAACCGATTTATCGCCGATAAACTTCCAGGCACGGCGACTTACCTTCAGGTTACTAACCCGTTCGCTCCGTCCCACGTGAGCCAAACTGCGTAAGCACCGATAATGGATAACTTCTATTCGCACCGTCAAGGTCTCACAACTTTAAAGTAGAACTGAACTAAAAGTGGCATAAGATGAACAACCTTTCAACTTTAGTAAAATATTGCAACTATGCCAAAGGTTTTTCAGTGTTGCGTAGGCTGCTCGAGCCTCCAAAATGCCGATGGTTATCTTTACTGTGCTATCGTCATTGGTCACACAGCTACCTAAGTAGGAAGAGTATTATTGTATTTCACACACCTCTGAGACCAGATTATTACGTTATATTTCACACTTTTCTGAGGACGGACTGTGTGCAAGCAAATCATGTTACAATAGTCTTTATGAAAGAGAAAGATGTTCCATGATTTGTATATGGGCTGAATACTTCCAGGTTGCCTAGGTCAAGGCAGGTGAATTTTCTTGAGGAATCCACAACCAGAGCCTTCGGCTAGTCGCAAGGCAGTGGGGTGGTGTGCGAAAACCGCATTCGCTTGGGGGCCGGTGTCCTGTTTATCGGATCATCGGATCACCCTTTGCACGGCTTCAAACGTCCAAGGTGTCCAATATACCTCGATGCCCAATTGAGGCGGTGACCACTGCCACAACCGGAAGGGTGTGCGTTGTTCCTCCTCTTGGTTAATTTGGAGTCAGGGTTTCTGGCTAACTCCCCTAGGTGAATTACCAATGGTCCACCAACCCGGATGTCGGTTTTTCGTCCTTTCGATTTGGTGGGAAAACACCGCCACAAGGAGGCAGCGAGTAGGGCTTTCTTAACAGAGGCTATTTGAGACGCTTGGTCGTATGGGACCGTTTCATGAGGTGCAAGAGCAAAGTGACCAGCTGTCATCCTAGACACCCACCCCCGACCGTAATGGGCGTTCGGAGTAAAAGCAATTCTTTATAACTAATTCTTGAGGATTTAGTTTCGAAACGTGAGAAGGCGGCATTCAGTCTTGCCATATTACTTCGCACTTTCGAGGTGCAAAGCGCCTACTGAGTGTGGTCGCAGCACTTGCTAGTCTATCAAGATCGCTTTGCGCTTCTTCCATACATTGGAACACAGTATCATCAGCGTACTCTAGGTCCCAATACTTTTCTCTAGTCATCCATTCAATACCTACGTTTTGGAGACCACTTAGTGCGTCCTCCGGAATTTCGTCTACGACGAGATTGAACTGAGCTGGCAAAATTGAGCACCCTTAACAATCGCCACTGCTGGTGACGACCAGCCTACTTAGTTCGTTATAGATCCTCACTCTATCAGAGGTATGTGAGATATGTGACCTCAGTAAGTTAAAGAACTTCTGGGGCATCCCTTCCCGAAGAGGGGAACTCATTAGAGCTTCGCGGTCAGTTTAGTCGAAGGCTCTTTTCAAGTCAAGGAACAGTGACGTTGGTCAACGGTAGATGTGACGCAGCTCAACGACCAGGCACAAATTTGATCAATACATCCACGGTCAGACCAGAATCCTGCTTGAAGTTTGCGGATGTTGGTCACTTAACCTAACTACATCCGAATGAGCAGTCATGAGACAGCAGCCTTGTGGTCGTGGTGGCACAGTGGTTTAGTCGCTGTCACCGGCGCGCTCATCGCCATCGTGCAGTGGAATACAAACGCGAACTCTCCTGATCGCTGCCAAACTCGCAATGCATATGCATATGGGTTTGATAGACGGATACTGCTAGGGTGTCCAGCCACCGGCGTGCTCTGGACCCTGTAACCCGAGGCTCGAGCCCCGCTACCCGACTTTGGCAGAAGCAGCTCTGCTGTTGTTCGGTTCAATATTACTCCTAACCTGTCGGATTCCTATGTGGTTCACCACTTTAAGTCCCAGAGCTTGGGTTACAGGTTTCCATCATCGAACAGCAGGTCCTTGTGACTATGGGCTTTACCCCGTCTGCTGTTCATCACACAAGAGTGTAATTTAAAAAAGGTTTTCAATGCATCCTCTAAGACTATAGAACACCCTGCTCGTGTTCGCTATTAAACTAAAATATGGGATCAACAAATCTGCTCTCACTTAAATGTCCTCCTTATTACCGTATTCTGTGAGTGTTATTCTTTCCGTCTCCATCTATCACCTTGTGACGGAAGCAGTTGCTTTTTCGTGCTTCATCATGTCAAGCGACGCGCAACTCACGAAAACGTTGTATTACTGCTGAGAACTGCATATGTCGACAGCTACATGGTTTCTCTTGTTTACAGTGTTGCCCCACTCACCTTTTCTGTCTATAATATGCGGAGTTCAACGAAGAGCAATACAAAAGATGGGAGGTGGGTATTGGTTGTTGTTGTTGTTGTTCCGTTTACTCAGTATTTTGTTGTGTTCGAAATTGACACATACGGTTTTACCATCTGCAATTGTTTTAATCTAGAACTTGGATGTGCGAAAAGTGTCCTGTCCAGTCATCGGAGGTCACTCCGGTGTGACGATTTTACCTGTGATTTCTCAGTGTTCTCCACAAGTTTCTTTTCCTCAGGTGAGTTTACATTTCACTTTTTTCCGGTAACAGATTTCTCTAGCCCGGGTGATTCGTAGTTTACCCCAATTTAGCAAAACATAAACATGTGAACTCCTAACTACTTCGGTTTTATCTTTTTAGTACATTTGTTAGAAATGCACAGGTACTCAAACCGTGTCTCATGCGATACATGCTACGTGATTATCGCACTGTTTACTTTCGTTGCCTGTGAATGCGTTTTCTCGCGCGTTTGTGGTCGGCGGAAAACCGGGTGTCGTGACAATTCCACAGGTCACAACGCACTGGTCCACCGGTATGCAAAGCATTCGTGATAAGCTACTGATAATGATTAATTTTATTAGGTTCCAGCTTAGTCAAGAACTTTTGAAGGTAGGTAAGCTGCTTAGGACAGCCTATATCTGTGTCACAATGGATGCCATACTGTCGGAACGTTTGCTCCAAATCTAACTGCTGTTCTCCTTTTTCCGAGTATCGAGAATGTTGTCCAATATCTCCCTCAAAATCCGTCTTGTTGAAAGACAATCGGCGTATTCCAGCAATAATTTCTCTCGCTGAAATCAATAAATCAGCCAGACTCGCCTTATGCGTGAGGTCTTATAGCTCTTGACTACATATCTCCGATCACATCTCGGATGAATTACATAGATGCGTACGCCGAGACGACACACGTTGCGTCTATCAGGGTGACCTCGAGTTACTTTGCATGAGGTCTTCTTGTGAGAACCACAAAGGAATTAGTCACATCAACATTGCTTCTAAAGTACTCGTCGGTATCATACGCCGTAGATTGTCTGCCGCACGTGAACGGTGCACGCGTGAGAACCAGGCTGATTTTAGACCCGGTCGAGGTTGTATGGACCACATCTTCACTCTTCGCCAACTGGAGCACCGACATTCTTTTGATAGACTCACTATCTCTATCTTCCTGGATCTGAAAGCGGTTTTCGACTCAGTCGACCGCTCTAATCTCTGGCGCTGCCTTTCTCTGAAAGGTGTGCCCGAGAAGTTAATTTCAATAGTACGATCCCTCTATACTCATAGCCGAAGCCGACTCCGAGCTTTTTTGTTGGAGTTCACCTCAGAAAGTGGTGTTCGTCAGGGTTGCCCTCTCCTTTTCTATTTAACTTCGTTATGGATTTGATTATAGAGACAGCCCTATCCTCGTACGAGAATAGCGGCATCAATTTGCTCCCGGGTTGCAGACTTAGTGATCTGGAGTATGCAGACGACATTGTGCTACTAAGTGAAGATCCAGGTAAGTTGCAAGCATTTCTAGATAAGTTGAATGCCAGTGTAGCCATATTCGGTATGCGTTTTGCACCTTCAAAGTGTAAAATGTTACTACAAGACTCTTTTGGTCCAGCACCCAGCCTTACTCTAACTGGGGAAGTAATAGAGCAGATGGATAAGTTTTGTTATTTGGGCAGCTACACCTCACCCGGTAGACGCATCACGGATGAAGTGTCAGCTCGCATACAGAAGGCTCGGTTGGCATTTTCCAACTTGAGACATCTGTGGTTCCGTCGTGACATCCGGCTGTCTGTTAAGGGTCAAGTGTATGCTGCGGCAGTTCTGCTATACGGTGCAGAAACTTGGCCATTAAGGAAACAGGATAAAGACAGATTGTCGGTGTTTGAACACCGTTGTCTACGCAGCATTACACAAATCTGGTGGGACAGCTGGACGGGCAATGCTGAGGTTAGGTGCAGAGTTTCGAGTGACCGCAGTTGCCCACTAGAGCAAGTGGTCGACGTCCATAGATTACGTTGGTTGGGGCATGTGTTACGCATGTCACCAGATAAGTTGCCACGGCGAGCGATGTTCGCCGAGGCAATTGGTGGGTAGAAAAAGGCCAAGGTTGGTCAAGCTAAGACCTGGCACGAGGGTATCAAAATCCAACTAGGAGTCTGGGTCCCGTTAGGCTCGTTGACGAGGGACCTCGGGATGATCGTAACCGATGGTTAGAGACACAGTGTCGTAAACAGTGGTGTTCGTGCATCTTGTCAATTTCTCCGCAACATTAGTCCACTGAACTATTCAATTTTCTCTTCGATTCGCACTTCCAAACTCCCGGTCGTTCTATTGTTCACCCAAATGGGCAGCCAAGAGACAGCAACCAAAACTGGCGCACAAAAACGCATGGTTATTGGTTGTTTGAACTTAAACTTCGCATGAAACTCTGGGTCTCAATACGCAAACGGTCAATCTAGCAACCTGGCTTCACTTCTCGGTACGAACCCCGCCAATTCCGGTATTACCAAAAACCGCACTCAGGCGTACATAGGACTTCACGGATTGTTGGAATGGAGGCATCTATCGGATAATGGAGCTAGCCTTGGTTACAACACGCCTCATTGACTATCGTTTCGAGTGTACGATTTAGACCCACTTGTTGTCCTACACTTGTCATGATTCTCATTCACATTTAGCGATACATTAGCGGTTTTTCTACTGCTTTGGAATGCGGCAGTTTCTATGTAATATATATTATATTTTATCGTACTGATATCCTTTTTTCTTTAAAGAACGCGATCCCCACTCTGGGACAAGTGACAGACCTATCTAACCACCTATAACTGTGATTCTTATTTCCAAAATACAAGATAATCATGAGTGGTATTCCGTTGACATTCATTCACATCAGGTACATATCAGCCTACCTCTGGTAGTCACCAGCATTCTGTGATAAATAGAGAACCACGTTCAAAATCATTTCGCTTTCTGCTAAGAAATTGCTTCTTGAACTCGACAGACTAGAAACTAGCGTGCTTTTCCGATTCAGAATTTTGTCTGAATGCTCAACGGCCGTTTAAGATCACATTTAATAACAATATGATTCGCGTGAATTCGCCTCATTACGGGGTATTCGCCTTAATGATAGACTTCAATCTACACTTAACAATGTAACAAACCCAATAAACGGATAGGCATGCGAATAAAGGTAAAGTATTCTGACGATGAAGCGTTTCGTCAATATGCTTGTTTCATTCACTTATTCTGCCAATTCGTTAAATGTTCTTGTGATGTTAAACTGTCATAAAACGAATATTTTATTGCGTTCCAGTTTGTAAGTTCCTTTCTATATCCTTTTTGGACAATAAGTTCACATTTTGGCACGCATTACACGACGATAAATCCATATTATTAACAGTAGTTCAGTGTAGTGCGTTGGATCATGGCGATCAAAGATGATGAGTTAATCACTAGGATAACGGTCTATCTCGTTTTCGTCACATTTGAACATCCTATTCGATTGCTACCGTCATATTATCATTACTATTGATTTTCGATAGAACGAACGTGAGAAACTGACCGCTCGCATTCAGAACGCTGGTACCGAAGTCGTTGAGGCCAAAGCTGGTGCGGTAAGTCCGTCGTACTTGGTGTTATTGAGTATTTCCCCATGCCTTCGTTGTTCTTGCCTCGTTATTTGATGAATTCATCAACCTCTGGCACTTCATGTGCGATTGTTTACGGAATTTCTTATACTCAACATTGCACATTTAGCACCATCTTGTAGACCGCACTTCGACATGGCGATCGCAGTTCAAGACTGCTCATGTAGTTTGGGAATGCATGGAACAAGAACTCGCTACCGCATCAGATTCAGCTCAATAGGGTCCGTTGGTCAGGGCACGTTTTTGCGTATGTCCGACGGTCGCCTACCGCAGCGCGCCTTGTTTGCAGTGACTGTTACAGGCTGGAGAAAGCCACGTGGAGGCCAAAAGATGACGTGGAGACAAGGCATGAAGAAATGCACATGGCGATTAAGTAAAGCAGGTGTCTCTCGTTTTCCGGGTTGGGGTCCAGAAGACTCCGAAACCGCATGGTTGCAGACACTGAAGATCATGGCTGCGAACCGACAGCAATGGCGATCATGTTGTCACTTCTTATCAGACCAGAATGCTTGAAATAGTATGTATGCATAGTTGGACTGTGTACTCTGTGTGTTAACCATAGAGATTCGCTTTCTTTTCCCGTCCCTAAAAATAGGTCTAATCCCTGTTCTCCTTATACATTCTCCCTTATGTTGTATGCAACATGAGTTTGGCAGCGATCAGTGAAGTTCGCTGTACAATGATGATGATGATGCTTCTTAAATAGAGGCTATTCGAGGCACTTAGTCATATAGGAAAATTTGCAGAGGTACAGGGGAAGAGTAACCAGGCAAAATCAAAGACCCACTCCCTTTCAAGGGAAAGACGATCCCACGCTGTCTTGCCGAGAGCCAGGAATTCATAACAGGTATGTTCTTCGCACAGTAGGCGGTCGACCCCTTTGGAGTAATTCTGCTGCTGTATGGGACCCACTTAAGTGTGCAAAGCAAGTGATACGATCTGGAACAAAAGAGCAGGATTAAGTGCCTTTAACTTGCTACATTGGTCGAGTAGTGAAAAATTCCTGAACGATGTTGGGAACACCGTTACGATGGTCTTCAAGTGTTTTTTCGAAGCTACTCACCATCATCATACTGGATCATCACAGCTGAGAAAGTCAGAGCGACTATGTTCTTATAGCTGATGCCCTAACGAAATCCGGACAACACTTCCACCAAACAGACTAAGGTCCAGAAATAAGATCGGGAGACGTCGAGATACGCAGGTGACGGTTGTATTGTGAAAACTGGTGAAACCGAAATAGAGAGTGGCGTGCGGAAAAGTTTGAGTCCACTTGCGGTG